TAGAGGATTACTTCCAGTCAGATTCCTGCCACAGTCCTTCCAGTCATCCGTTTCTACACGCACACAAACATAAACACACAAACACAAACAAACGCAAGCATTATTTTATACCAGTTGTCCTTTTGTTGTCTTAGTTCGGAAAAAATCGCTAAGCTCACGATCATTGTGACTTAACAATTTCTGTGCGTATTGATTGACGCTTGTGTTACACAGACGAAATACTACAGTGCATAGAAAGCGATAAACGAATAGAAGATGATATAAAACTCATAATATATAAATCACATGCGAACTGACAGATGATTTTATATTCAGTCAACAGGATCTGATTGACTAGTTCTCTTCTTGAGCTAATACGATGTGGTGGGTCAGAGGGATATCTGACAGGAGTATCACCTAGGAGCTGGTTAAATGTCATATTGTAAACCTTTGTTGTTTCAAGCCACGATCCAGTTCCACGTGCAGATGTCGTTGAACTATGCGAGAAAGGAATGTGGATTGGACGAAATGGATGTGCACTGGAAGTAGCAACACCGATTTCTAATACCAAATAGGACTTTTGAATCATTCAAATACACGTGTTCATGAATAACGAACACGGCAGCAGCACAGTGTTGCACAATTTAGTTCCAATGAAAACTAACAAGCAACATTTACCGCGGATAAGTTGTTGATGTTATCTGCGTCAATCTTTCTACCAAGATAGGGTTAGAGTTACAAATAACTCTTTCTGCTTGCACAGTTCAGGTTTCCATCGTTTTATAGCAATCGCTTCTGCAAACTGGAGCAACCGACAGGTTTTCCATCGGAAGTCCATTGGGTCCCATTCTGGCAGATATATTTTTGGCAAAACTGGAGTGGAAGATCAGCTACAACCTCACCAAAAATGTTCTGTACAAACAATACTTGGACGACGTATTACTCATAGCAGACTCAAAGGCTGAGGCATTGAACTTATTCCAAAGCCTGAATGACGCCCATCCAAATATAAAGTTGACGATGGAACATGAAGAAAATGATATCTTGTCCTTCCTAGATGTAAAAATGCAACGGAGGACCGATGGAAGCCTTGGTCGATTTGTTCATCCAAAACACACGTGGACGGATCAATATCTGCATTTCACCAGCTTCGTCCCCATCTGTTACAAACGACGGCTATTGAGGACGCTTTACGACCGTAAGAGAAAAATTTGTACGCCTGATAACATCACAGATGAAATGCTAAAACCGATTAGCACTCTCCGGGATTATGGTTACCCGAGCTCGTTCGTGAAAAAGGATAGCATTGCACGTCCGAAAGCAGAGCGACCAATATCCGTACCATAGTGTAAGGTTATCCTACAATTACCGTTCAATAGTGATGATGTGAGTAAATTGTTGGAGCATCGTCTAAGCTCGTCCATCAAACGAACATCCAACACAGCCGAGCCAGTTTTCGTCTACAGAATACAGTCTCCTCAAGTCAGGCAACCGCTTCCGCAGTATGCCAAATCCCGCGAATTCTACCAATTCGTCTGTGGGTGCTCGGCCACCTACCTAGGCAGAACCGAGCGACAGCTTAGACAAAGAGTAGCCGAACACATCCCTACGTGGGTTAACGAACTGGTGTACGAATCACACCTCAGTGATCAAGGTCGAAGGTCAACCCAACGCCGCACACCCGCGTCATCGATCGCTCGTCATGTGTTAGAGACTGGGCATCAAGTGAACGTGACCACCGCATTTAACAGCGTCCTCATCACGCAAAACTCTCGATTGATCCAGTTTGCAGAAGCGATTGCTATAAAACGATGGAAACCTGAACTGTGCAAGCAGAAAGAGTTATTTGTAACTCTAACCCTATCTTGGTAGAAAGATTGACGCAGATAACATCAACAACTTATCCGCGGTAAATGTTACTTGTTAGTTTTCATTGGTATTCTTTGACTGTAGTGTGTGCCTGAAGAGATGCAGCGAGATTTTTCCGGAACTAAATTGTGCAACACTGTGCTGCTGCTGCTGTGTTCTTTATTGCAGTTCTTTCGGGGAAAAGGTTATTTCAACATATGTTTGTGACAATGACTTGCACCGATTGAGTAATTAATACCAGACATGGTACACAATAATTACTTGAAATGTCATCTTTTTTGAAAACACATTAAAGATAATAGCATTCTTACCAGGGTAAATGCACGCAGGACACGGGGCTCGCTGGGAAATTCCGCGGTCAAACCGAACAGGGACGGAGATAGGATAGCCGGACAAATATAGCGTAGAAATACACATGCTGAAATCACGTGTTCCGATAAGGTGGCCTGTGAGGGATCGGATGACTTCATAGTCCCCGGTGGATAGATTGTATCCAACTGATTGCGTACCGCTGCGAAAATCATACGCAGTTTTCTGTGTGCGCGCGTGCGTGTGTACAAGAATGGGCATTGAGAATCACTGTCAGTAGTTGTTTGGTTGCAAATTCCAGACAAACAACTGCTTAAAGTATCCGTTTTGGCAGATTGAAGTATTGTATTTAATTGTGAAAAGTCCACTGATCTCGATGGGATTCAAACTCAAACACAAGAGAGATCACCCACGCTCTTGTACAGAGCATGTCCTCCCAGCTGAGCGATGAGACCACACCGACGGCACGTGTACTTTTCACGTTCGGCTGGTTCAACCAAGTGTGACAATAGCATCACATGTTCAAGACCTTGATATTTAAACTAAAATTAGGTTCTCTATTTATTCGACAGTCTGATTCGTTGGCATTAAACTAAATTTCTACTTTTGTAAAAAAAGACCACTCCTACTACGATCCACATCAAAAGGACCCTTGTAAATACCAATTTGGTTCACACTGAATATCAATAATAAATGAATTCCAATGCGAGGAAAACAGCATGTCATCTACTTCAACTGTATCTAAATTCTCCAAACAAGTGATTAGATCTGGTGAAAGAATAATTTGAGAAATGGCCTAAAATATGTAGGAAATGAACCGGTAAACTAATAAGGTGGAAGGATATGCAAGTGGGATGGATACAAGGATACAATAAAGCACGCTATAATGTTTGCACTGTTGCTATGGCATCACCGTGTGTTGATTTAGGCGGCAGAGGCAGCGGCAGTGATCGGGAGGGGGGGGAAGGGGTGCGTGGGACTGGTGAAGGAAAGAAATGTTCCAACAACATGGTGAACATCAGGTGCCTATAATTCTATCGACAGATTGCTATCGTGTTTTGTTTAGGGGTGTTTTAAATTGTTGAAGAGATTTACCGAAAACGGATGAAAAGGATAGAATTGACCACGTGCGATACGAGACAAACAGAGAGAGAGAGAAAGGGAGAAATGGGGGAGTGCATGTATGAAAGTAAAACCAGGCACCGAGTAGAATGGTTCCGCAAAATCCGAGGTGAGAGTTGGAGTTGGAACAGAACGGATCAGATCAAAAGTTGTGTCTGGTATGCATGAGCAAGTTCGCACCATAAAGTGTATGCGATGAAAACAGACTAATCACAAGGGAGGATAGGATGAAGGCACTTCTGTGTGTGTTTCTGTTTATGCATGTCCGGTGGAACGGTGATGAGTGTGAATCAAAGAGTAGAAAATTTAGAATAACTGGACCGCATATATCTGGTACATAAACCATTATACTACTCAAATGAGTGCGGTAGAAAGACCAGAGTCGTGATTAAACCACTCAGACACACACACAAAGCTATGGGTTTAATTTTACGAATACAGAAGCAAACAGTGTAACTAGTCGCTTACTCCGGGAAGTATGCCTCACTGGTCACAATCCGGTCCCACACGGTTTCCACCAAGTTTTTCAGATTGGCCTGATTTTGTGCCAGTTGACTGGACGATTGAAGTTTAGCCGCGTCCACTTCGCAATCGGGGAATGTGCCCAGCGTGCCACTATTCCCGTTGGAACTACTCATGCGACCTTGTTTAGACGTCTTACCGGTTTGGGGTTCGGTAGCCCGACGAGTACCGACAGTACAGGCCCCACCGCTGCCACTGAGAACGGTTTGGACAAAATCGGCCAATACACGAGAAAGATAGGTCTCCCCGATCAGGCGTAGATAGATCTCGGTGGCTTTAGTTGCGATGCTGTTTCCACGGAGCACCATGTTCGGATCGGCTAAAGTGATGGGAATAAAACAGCCGAATTGCAAGTAATACAATAGAAGCTAATATTTTCCTCGGACAGAATAGAGAAATTCCAGCCAAACTATTATTGCGAGAAAGATCCAGTTCTTTGCACCGCATTAGGTGTTTGCCAATTAAAAACATAAAAAAACATTACTCTCATCTAACTATTTACTTAGGTTCGGAATGCTTCCAGTCGAGTCAGAACCCGTGGCGGTTAATGTCTAGATGGACCGGGTGCGATGCCAGGAACAAGCTCACTAGGTTGAGTTCTGCCATTACCTGTACTGGCAAAATGAAGAACGATCTGATCAACTACCCCCACCCCCACCCCACCCACCCCCGCCCGGGATGGTCAAGTGGTTCGTATACTTGCGTTATATCTATGATGAGGTCCCATGTTTGATGCCAGGTTGGTTTGTTCGATTTGTGCACTGCTACTGGTCAGACCCAATCCGATCGATGCAAGTGTACCACTGTGCTGCCCAGCTTTTCAGTTCACGCTTTATTTGTTCTGAACTTGAGAAAATCCACATTGTATGCTTAACATAATTGTGCCCTTCCCTTGCCCCTCGCGAAATGCTCCTCCCATACGATCAAGCGTCTAAAATAGTCTGCCTCTGCTGAGGAAGCCCTACTTACTGCCTTCTCGTGGTTGAGATGTTTCTCCATCAAAGGACGTATGATCGGATGAACTGGACACCGGCCCCCAATGGACTGCGGACTCTGAGCTCCGTCATGTTGTCTTGCCAGTCTGACTTTCTAGCCAAAGGCTTCGAGTGGGGATTCCGAGGTTATTCTCCTTCCTCGGCCAGGGCAACCAAGAAGTAACACGCCCACATAACCTATGGACACATTCTTCAGATTTCTTCTTGTTCATCAAGTTGTGACACATTTGCCAATTCTCTGTAATTGGTTACATGTTGAATTAAATAATAATAATAGTAATAATAATAATAATGAACGTTATTGGTTGATCAAGGAAAAGGAATACCCTACTGTGCTCGATTCACGATTCGCTCAGTAGGAAACAAATGCCAAAGTCAAACAGCCGGTCTGTTTTGACATGAAACCAGATAAAAGAAAATTACTATCACCGTGGCTAGTCCCGCAGTAAATTTGAGTGATCAAAACATACAGATAGGAGGGTATTGCACTTCAAACTGGCCGGGATGATAACCTACCCTGTTTGTGAACTTCGTGCAATATCATCACAACTAAAAATTGGGGAGCTTGACCGATTGCCTGTTGAAAAGCCACAACTGAGCCGGCCAACTCGGCTTTCGCTTTCAC